GCGGACGCGGTGCCGTAGGTGACGGTGTTGAGGCTGTACTCCCCTATTGCATCGTGTTCCGAAAAACGCCACAGGGTGCGTTGGTAGCTTCGGTCTTTCCCTCTAACCGCGATCTGGCGATACATTTTGGCAACATCCGCGGACACAACAATGGCATGTTTACGAAATCGCAGCAGGATGTCAAACAGCTCATCCTGTGTGGGGGGGCCTACCCATTGTGTATCATTCAACGAAACGCCCGACGCGGTTTTCGCTGAGCCATCAAAGACGACCCGAAGTTTGGTGGTCGTGCTATTGCCTTTCATCACTGCATTATGAGGCAGGTAATAGCTACCGCTGACCCCTCCTATGTCCTTCGGATCCAATCTTGACATATGGCCCAGATTTTCATACTCGCGAAGGAACTCCTTATACTGCGCTTGGAGGTCGGGCTGCTTCCTGAATTTGCGTTCTAGATTCAGAAGCCTACGTTCCGCCTGAGGACGGGACTCTCCCAATTCATGAATCCTATCGTTGAACGGAATCGCTACCACGAATCGCCCCTGCTCGTCGCGCCTAGTATTTTCAACGAAGTGCTGCTCGCACGGATCGTGTTCCTTGTCATTGACTTCCGCGTTACCGACCTCTTCGACCTCCCAGAACCGAGATAGGCCGATTTCCAAAGCGGAGTTCGTCGCAGTGTGACACGACATTGCCCTATGCCGCGACGTCGAACAAGGTAAACCACCACCTAACACCCAACCGAGCAGCGTTTTCTGCCACATCAGGTTCCCCACGCCTACCCTAATACGGCCGATGCACAGCAGGTCCCAAAACATACCTCCCCCAATTAATAAGTCGACAGGGCCCGTGGTCTGAAAGTGGGGATCGGCCGGTAAAATACCCGGAGGTGTGGTGATCCTGATTTTATTCAACGCAACGTTGGGCAGCTCTTCAGTGATGGTGTCCATCACCAAGCACGTGAGGGCTGATTTAAAATTCCCTATCCGCGATTTCATTGCCAGCTGGGCAGAAGATCGGATCGGATTCTTCGTCAGTCCTAAGCTACCGACCGTTGCGTCGATGGCCCGTCGAGGCAGTCCGATGCACTCGCAAAAAGGCGGCGGAAATTGGCCTGGGAACCTACGTCTAACAGTGCCCTGCACTCGTGGTACTTCCCCTTGCTGTCGCCTATCAAAACCAACGCCGTAGACAAAACAGTACATTCAGTCAACACGTTAGCGGCGTGTGACTGCAAGACATGGGCGGTGGATGACCCGGGAAGTTCCTCCTGGGGTGAACTCCCCGGAGCTGCGGAAGCTGCTTCTTTGTGCAGCAAGGTGTGGTGTTTGTTACCGCACTTTCGGCATTTTGAGCGAGTACAAGCCCTTGCGCTATGATTCGGCGCCAAACAGTTAAAACATAGGTGCGAACTCCTCACAGCTCCGTGCCTTTTTTCGACGGACATGGCCAAGAACTCGGGACAGTGGCTGATCACGTGGATCCCGTCACATAGCCTACATTTTTCTGTCTGATTCGCGACGTGGGTCGCGGGGACGAAAGGCTTAAAACCCCCTTGCCGCCGTGGGGTGGTTTTTGGGCGGTCAGAACCTACATTGCCCATGACCGATTGGTTCGACTCCCTACGCTCGAGATATTGAGCCCGCTGCTCCAAGAAAGTCGCAAACTCCTTGAGAGTGGGCGACTCGCTTGAATGCATAGAGCGCTTGTCCCACTCGTCCAGGGAAACCGGGTCCAGCTTTTTCGCCAGGCACTTGCTAATAAGCGCGTCGCGGAATTGCTCAGGGGTAAGAAGAGACTCGAGGGCGCGGATGTTGTTGATAGCGGTGTCGGCAAATTCGCTAAGCCCCTTACTGCACGGCCTTTTAAGTTGCTCTAAGTCTAGAAGAGAGTTTAGGTGGTGGTTCACGAGCAATCTGGGGTTGTCGTACCTTTCCCTCAATCGCTCCCAAGCTAACTTGTAGTTGCTTGCCGACACGCTGTACGATTCTATGACGCGCGCAGCGGATCCCGATAAGGCGGACGTCAAGTAATTAAAGCGATCGATGTCATTTAACCTATCTGAATCGTGAACCAGCGAAGTGAAGGTGTCGCGAAAACGGATCCATTGCTCACAGTCCCCTTTGAACGTGGGCAATTTTATGGTAGGCAGACGAACCGCGGGGAAAGTGTCAGAAGGCGAAGGCGTGGCGCTATGTTGAGTATTGGTCGCAGTGACTGAGTTTCCGCGAGCTCTCAAAAGGAATGTCTCAGCCTTGGACATGATTGCGTAATAATTGTTTTCAAAGGACTCGCGCTCGGCCAACTGCGCTTCCTCGTGCGGGGTGTCCATGACGGCACATTCTATTTGGGACTGAATGCGGTTGAAGGTTTCGTAAAGACCCTCATTCGTTCTTAAGCGTCGCTCAAGAGCTATTACATCTACCGTTGCGCTTTCAGACTCGAGGAATTTTTTGAACATGGTGAGTCTGGCCTTGACAGACCCGCGCTCACTAACGCATGATTTTACAGTTTCCATGATGTGTAAGGCTAACACAGATTAAAATAATGGAAATGACTCACGGAATAGACGGGTTGGGTTAGCGTGACCACGTGGCTTCCTCAAATCGTCCCTTAGGATGCCTGCTGCGTCCTGGCGGCTAAAGGTGCGTCCAGAGTCCCAGTAGACAATGACGTCCTGGATGCTGTTGCCTTGACGATGGAAGCTTACGTTGCGTGGCTCTTGCTGCAATCTCGAGTGGTCTTGCGCTCGAAGCGTGGACCCTGATGACGACTGTCTCTTGCTCGTGTCACGTCCAGGGGTGTGGTGAGCCCAGTTCTCACACACGGCAGCCGCGCTGGATGTACAGAAGACAGCGAACTCCCACCAGGTCGAAGTTCTTCTTTTTCCAAAATCCGGCTCGAAGGACCAAATGTTACTGCTCGTGGTGCTCCTTGTGAGCATCGAGCTTTGTAGAAGTTTGCACGTGGTGTGCCGTCCGAGTAATATGGTTTTTCTGTGTCTTGTGAGTCCCTTATGGCCTCGTGTGTAGCGAGTCCCTTGTGGCCTCGTGTGTAGTGAACCGTCGGTGCTGAAGAGGTTCTTCTCCTGACTGGGTTGTCTTGTCTCTACTCTTGTCTGCCCCTCTTGTCTGTCCGTCTTGTCTGTCCGTCTTGTCTGTCTACTAGAGGACCGGAGTCATGCCTAATATCACCTCGGTCCTCCCTACTTCTCTTGACCTAGGGTGGGCGGCAAGGAATTACGGTCCAATCACTGCAATCCCAAATCCAGTGAGACTGCCCCAAAACGGTGGGCCGGGAGTTAGGAGGGAGAGTGGCAAAATAACTCCTGCTAGACATCCCGCG